TCGTCTCCCGGGCCGCGGCGGTCCGAGAACTAACTTGTGCGGTGCCTGCCCGCTCAGCCCGACACCGAGAGCGCGCCGGCGCGGAGCTCCGCTGGGACGCATTTGTGTGCTGCCGAGGCGCGAGTGTGACACTACCTGGCTTTGGAGGGTTTAGTCGGGCGCCTCTGAGCATTAGTTACCGTGAGCCGCGGCCACTGCGGCTGCACCGGCTGTGCGGACTCCGTAGTTGGCGGAGAGAAGCGGCCTCGACCCCAGGCCAGAGCTGCCGACCCTGGCATGGACCCCACCTCTCAAGGGTGGCTGCAGGTGGAGGTGTGAGAGTCTCAATGTCCTGGAGAGGCTGAGGAGCCCCCGGAGGAGTCAGTCTGTAGTAAAGTGCCATTTGCAAATACCAGCATTGCATCCCTGTGATCTTCTGTATTAACTTTTCTCCCGGAAAGTTAAATCTGGAAGTTGAATGAAGAGGCTTGTGGCATATTTTCGACTGTGACAAACCTAGGATGTCCTCTTAGGAGTTCATGGTTGTGTAACAAGTTGACCTGTACGTTTCAGTATTTAAAAATCTGTAATGAAGTGCATTTGTAATATCTATAGGACATTCTCATTTAAGTCCACTAAATTGATGCCAAAAAAGATCAGATTTTTCTTTTCATTGTGTTTGCAGTTTTAAATACTTTCTGGGGGGGACGTACTGGGGATTGAACTCGGTACCTTTCTCTTGTGAGGCAGGTGGCGGCACCACTGAGCTAAATCCCCAGCCTGTGTTTGCAGTTTTGAACATCTCTGTCCTCATGGAATGATGGTGATCTTTTAATAATTTTATTCTCGGAATAATTTTATTGTCAGGGAAACTCAATATTGCAGTTGTCTGAAAATGCTTGGTTTTAGACTATCAGATAGTCTTTTACATAGTGCTAAAGATGTTAGCCCCAATTTTTTGGGAGGAGAATTGAAAATGGTAAAACTAGCCCTGTTCAGGTTATCCAGTGCTAATGTGTTTGTTTGTTTTGTTTTGTTTTTGAGACAGGGTCTCACTGTGTAGTTAAGGCTGGCCATGAATTCAATGTGTAGCCCAGGCGGCCCTTGAAATCCAACAGTCCTCCTGCCTCAGCTTCCTGAGTGCTGGCATTACAGGTGCACGCGCTACCATCCCTGGCTCTGATAGGTTTTAAAGAGGTGGTAGAATATCATGCCACTTGAAGACACTTGAAATATTTTATCACTGCTGATTTGTAATAAGCTTTATTGCCCTAATAACCACGTGAGATAGTGATCTTATTTTGGCTAAATTTATTTGATAAAGTTTGTCAGCACATCCAGTATAATTTATGTCATTTGCCAAAGACAAACAAGATTTATCAACATAGTTAACATTAAAAAGAATGCATAGATATCAGGAGAGCAAAGACCTTTTTATTTGCTTTCCAGGCAAATAGTAATCCAAGCAATTTAAAGTGGAGCTTGTAAATGTAAGTGTGAATAAGGGAGAATTTCCTCCCTTTAATAAAAAATGTAAGAATTTCTGATCTCCAGCTCTAGAATGCCATCTCTTAGGGAAATTCTGACCAAATACTCAGATGTTGACACCTGAGTTTCCCCTCTGCCTTGTGGTTCATTTACTTTGGTTATGACTCCACACACTTTCATCCATTGTGAGAATCCTGCTTCTTGTTAAACTGATCCACACATGAACATCCTAGAATCCCTTTAAATGGCCTGAGATAGACGAGAACTATCCAAACACAGGTTCTGCCTCTACTTGGAAGAACTTTCAGGAGGCTTGAAATTATGGTTCTATCTGTGTCACTTTTTGTCCTGTACCGAGTATTCTAGAAACTAAAGTCTGTTACACCCTGGTCCTTCTTTCCTGGACTGTTTGTTTTGTGTCTGAACCTCTTTGCCTTTTCTTGAGGTGAGTGATGGGCAAAATGACCTTACTGTTCCAATCACGTTCTCTTGTGTGATTTTTGTTCATTAATGTATCCAAACGCTTTTGAATGCCTGTTGTATGTTAGGTATGGTGCTAGTTGTTAAGGAAACACTCTTTGTCCTGAATCTAATGGATCTTGCAGCCTAGTGAGAGAAATACATATTAATCAAGCTTACACAAATGCATAAATAAAAATTGTGCTATGTGCTGTGAAGGGAAATCACAGGGGATGAGGGGTGAGAAAATGGAGGTATGTACTTGATCCTAAAAATCCTGAAGAAATAACTTTTGAGTTGAAATCTGAAAATCCGAAGAAGAGTAGTTCTGGAAGTGGGAAGAGTAGTGTGTGCACAGATCCTAAGGCAGGAGTAGATAGGATGGGCAAGTGAGGGGCAGAATGAAGACTAATGCAGTTGGAACAGAGAGCAAGGAAAGTGGAATGACTGTAAAGGCGAGAATGGATCTTGTAGACAGCTAAGGACTTAGATCTTAAGCACAATGGAAAGCATTGAAGGATTTTTAGCAGGAGAGAGGCATGCTCATGTCTGTGTTCTGAAAAGACCACTGGAGCTGCCTGCAAAAAGTATGTGTTAACTGTGTGAGGTGGTGAGATCTTGAAGTTTTTTGGACTCTGGATAGTAGGAGTCCTTTGGAGATTATAATAGTTCTAATACGGTACAATAGTTATAATAGTTTAGGCAATGCTTGCCTTTGCTTGGTTTGGCCTGGTAGTAGGAGAGATGAAGTAAATTGATTCGAATTACTAAAGATGCAAAGGCGATAGGATTTGGTGATTGAATATGGGATGTCTAGAATAGTAGATTATTTGTTACATTATGAAAAGTTATGAAAATAACATTTATACATCCTGTTGTAATTGTGGTTAGAGAGAAGGCTTTTTAAAGGATTTATCCTCTGGATGTCTTAAGGTCACTATTTTTAAAGACCATCAGTTTAGACTTACAAGGTGCAGAAAACCCTTAAATTAATGCATGTCTCACTGAACACCATTTTCCCCAGGTTGTATCCCTGTGAGAGTGTTTAGAGTTCAGTTCTAAGATCTGAAAATAAAGGTTTGTAATGGAAATGTAGATGAATCTTTTGCTGCAGTGGTCCTATTAAAACAGCCAGTACTGGTGAGATGTATCTGTAAACTAGTGATCCTCTGTATGCGCACAAGCTACTTTGGCCGAAGCATTAATGCCACCTAAGTTCAGGGTGTACCTGGTAGGACTAATTCAGCACCTACTCCCAGGCCTAGAAGTTTTATGTGCCAGCTGACAGGTTTGGAAGGAATGTAGCTTTAATGAGGAATAGTGGCTGGTTGACAGCATTCTCAAAGGCAAGTTCCAACTTCTCAGAGTCATTTTATCTCAGTGATGAATTGGTTGTAACTTGAAAAATTCTGCTCTTGGCCATGAGAGTTTGTTTCAAATGGTAACTCTATTTGTAGGATTAGGGATGGAGCTTTCGCTCAACAAAATAGTCTCAAGAGGTCATTGTTCTCTAGTTCCCTAGGCTGTCTGACTCTGTAGGGGTTTTGTCTTTATCAGTTTCCGGCCTCTCGCCCCAGCTCTGCCACCACCAACCAACACCACCACCACCACCACCACCGCCATCATCATCATCATCATCAAAAATCCCACATTACTATTTCTAAGAAATTTGATTTTATAGACCTGAAATTAATGCAGACTTTTGTGGGCATGTATTTTTTTTTTTTTTTTCTGGGTTGAGAATCCAAAGCTTCCCTGTTTCCTAGAGGTTCCTGTAAATCAAACAAGACTTCGACCGTCAACTGGGTCCTTTGGAGGTAGAGTTCATGTGTCCTCCTCATAGAGTATCTTCTCTTCTCTCTTTCGTGCTGCGTTTGCTGAAGATACTCATTAAATTTTTTGTCAAACAACATAAGGAGCATCTATTTATGCCTACCCCCCATCAATATAGACACTGATAATGTTTGGTAGATTCATAGGCATTGCTGTACTTGTTCATTCTGTGGAAGGATATCTTATCCAGTGGCCTAAGTAAGGTTGGCTATGGTCTATTTCCTCACATCTCCCCTCAGTAAGACCCCATAGAGAATACTGAGAATCTGATAAAACGTTCTTGCTCTCAAGGGCTTGCT